GTTTGAATAATACAGTGAATACTTAAAAATACGATAAACACTTTAAAAAGAACAATGGATACTTAAAAAGAATACAGTAAATACTTTCTAATAATATAATTATGACAGTAAAAAAAATAAGAATTAAACTTTCACCTTTGAGTTCTAATTACTCATTATCTAAATGTGCTATAAAAGAGATGTTATGCTTGGCTGTTACTAATTAAATTACGTTAATAGAGTAATGAAGTGTCTGTGGTCGGACATCAGTCTGTGGCTCTGATCACTGAAGGCCATTTCCTCCATCAGCATTAATGCTTTCAGCAATGATGAACTGCATTCGGACAGAACGCAAACGCAGTAAACAACCCTCAGTTTTACACTCTGTTGAATCTGTGTGTGTGTGTGTGGCTCTAATAGTGTTCACTGTGAGCGTTGATTTCTCAGTGCAGCAGAATTTTTAATGCACTCTTGCAGTGGGCGGCACGAGCTGAGCTTTGTGTCGTGTTGTGAGTCTGATTAATTATTATTGTTCAGTCATTCTGCATTACGGTATACACACTCACGCCATTTACCATCAAAACCACTGCTCATACTCGTACTGCTAGGCACTATATGGGGGTATTAAAAACTGAAAAATGGCCATGATCACTCACTGAAGCTAAGCAGGGCTGAGTCTGGTCAGTGTCTGGATGGGAGACTACATGGGAAAACTAGGTTGCTGTTGGAAGTGGTGTTAGTGAGGCCATCAGGGGGCGCTCAACCTGCGGTCTGTGTGAGTCCTAATGCCCCAATATAGTAAAGGGGACACTATACTGTCAGTGAGTGCCGTCTTTCGGATGAGACGTTAAACTGTTGTCCTGACTCTCTGTGGGCATTATTCATCCCATGGCACTTCTGGTAAAGAGTAGGGGTGTTTGATGGTTTATTAATAGAAATAATTATACCTTCAAATAAATTGTGACCAATATATATGTGTGTGTGTTTGTTTCACTAGTGCATCTCCAGATCTTACTGGCTGTTGGTTTGGCCGTCCTCTGTTTCTGCCTGCTGATTGGCTGCATCTTCTGTTATTATCACAGCAAGCTCCACCCGAAGGATGACAAGGAGGCGGAGCTATCTGTGCCTCCCCCTTCTGCAGATCATGTGACGATCACTTTAAGCCCCTCCCCTTCAATCATCACTCAGCCAATCAAACAGCAGTATGAGGAGCTGGATGGTGACGTTCTGGATTTCCCATCAATAAACAGCAGTTCAGAAGATGACATTTCAATGACGTCTCTACCAGGACCTCAGAAGTCTCGTTTCAGCCTGCGACGCTTGAGCTCACCTGTAATTACCTGTAAATTAGGTAAACCTGCAATTCGTGGACGCTCCTCACTTCCAACAATTCCTAAACTCAGCCTGTCGGTGAAGTCTCATAGCAGAGTTGATGATGATTCAAATTCGGAAAACAGCAAGATTAAGGTCTATAATGACAGACATTACGGCTCTAGCAGATCTACGCCATCTATTAGTTTCACTTTGCTGTATTCATCTTCCAATAGCAGACTGACGGTCAGTGTTTTGGGGGTTTTTCGGGGCTCCAGGAGACTCAGTGGGATGCAGGTTACTGCCTGTCTGCCTCCGCTCTGCCCTGAAACTCTCCAGGCCGGCCGGAAGCAAAGGTTATTATATTTTTGCATTTTCAATTAGTTGTTATTTTAATACTATTTTTATTTTTGCTGTAAATTTTAGGTTAGTAAAGGTCCTGGCTGCGCCCATTTTTTGTTTTTATTCACATTCAAGTTCATTGAATTATTAAGCACATTTAAAAACAGCCACAAGACTGACCAAAGTGCTGTACATAGGACTAAAAATATAAAGAGAAATTACAAAAAAAGAAACAAAATGCAACATATATAAACCACAGATATATACAATCACCGGCCACTTTATTAGGCACACCTTACTAGTACATGATTGGATTCAACAAGCTACTGGAAATATTCCTCAGAGATTTTGCTCCATATTGTCATGATAGCATCACACAGTTGCTGCAGATTTGTCGGCTGCACATCCATGATGCCAATCTCCCGTTCCACCACATCCCAAAGCTGCTCTATTGGATTGAGCTCTGGTGACTGTGGAGGCCATTTGAGTACAGTGAACTCATCGTCATGTTCAGGAAACCAGTCTGAGATGATTGAGCTTTATGACATGCTGCGTTATTCTGCTGGAAGTAGCCATCAGAAGATGGAGACACTGTGCTAATAAAGGGATGGACATGGTCAGCAGCAATACTCAGGTAGGCTGTGGCGTTGATGCTCAATTGGTACTAAAGGACCCAAAGAAAATCTCCCCCACACCATTACACCACCACCACCAGCCTGAACCGCTGATACAAGGCAGGATGATCCATGCTTTCATGCTGTTGAGGCCAAATTGTGAGCCGAGCATTCGAATGTGTGAGCAGAAATGGAGACTCATCAGAGCAGGCAACGTTTCTCCAATCTTCTATTGTCCAGTTTTGGTGAGTCTGTGTGAATTGTAGCCTCAGTTTCCTGTTCTTAGCTGGCAGGAGCGGCACCCGGTGTGCTCTTCTGCTGCTGTAGCCCATCCGCCTCAAGGTTGGCGGTGTTGTGTGTTCAGAGATGCTCTTCTGCAGAGCTCGATTGTATCGAGTGCTTATTTGAGTTACTGTTGCCTTTCCATCAGCTGGAACCAGTCTGGCCATTCTCCTCTGACCTCTGGCCTCATCAACAAGGCATTTGCACCCACAGAACTGCCGCTCACTGGATATTTCCTCTTTGTCGGAGCATTCTCTGTAAAGCCTAGAGATGGTCGTGCATGAAAATCCCAGTAGATCAGCAGTTTCTGAAATACTCAGAGCAGCCCGTCTGATGCTCAGTTTGATCTGCAGCAGATCGTCTTGATCATGTCTACATGCCTAAATGTATTGAGCTGCTGCCATGTGATTGGCTGATTAGACATTTGCGTTAACCAGCAGTTGGATAGGTGTACCTAATAAAGTGGCCATTGAGTGTATTAAAAATAAAGCAATCGACAAAGCTATGAGTATAATATTAATAGGCCAATTTAAACAGGTAAGTTTTTAAAATTGATCTAAAGATAGATTCATTGTATTGCGGCGCAGTTTCTGCAGAAACGGAATATATAATGAGACAACAGTGGGCGTGGCTTGTTTTTATCTTCTGAGAGCTGATTGGATGTAGTAAAGTTTCATTGAGAAAGATGGGGAAAAGGATTTGGAGGGTGTTAATTCTTACTTTTTACATTTATTTTTATATTTATTTTATTATTTTTAAGTAATATTTTCAGTTTTCATTCATTGTGAATTGTTTTATTTTATTTCAGTTAACAAAAATGTGTTTTTTTACCAATAGTTTTAGATTTAGTTTTCATTTATTGAGATTTTATTTTTTTTATTTCAGTTACCGAAAATATGTTTGACCAACAGTTTAATCTTAGTTTTGATTGCCGTTTGCTAATATGACAGACGCCGCCGCAGCCTCAGTGCAGAGTGTCCAGCGCAGGTGTTCAGTCTGCAGGTGTGGTCAGTGCAGGAGCTCCAGACCTGCACCCTCAGACTGAGCATCTCCAGCAGGGATTTCTCCGGCCTCAGAGAGACACCGCTGGGAGAACTGGAGATGTCCTGTGCTGAAATCCAGTGGGAATCTGATCACACCTTCAGCTTAACTCGACAGCTCAACCCTGCCAGGAGGAAGCTGAGGAAGGTATTTGAGGAGACCTGTTTACAGCTGCTCACTTCATGGGTCATCTCTGATCAGATGAATGATTTGTGAAAACAGTCCAGTTATGGTTGACCCCCTAAATTTGTCTCTGCATGCATGGATGGATGGATGGATGGATGGATGGATAGATGGACGGATATATAGATATTCAGATAGACAGATGGATGGATGGACAGGCAGACAGATATGGGCATAAATATTCAGATAGATATATGGATCAATGGACAGAATGAATGGATGGGCGTATGGATGAATGGAGGGATGCATGGATGAATTTATAGGTAGAATGGATGGATATATGGATGGATGTATTGGCGGGTGAATAGATGGATGGATGGATGGATGGATGGATGGATGGATGAATGAATGGATGGATTGATGAAAAGAATGGATGGAGGGATAAATGAATAGATGGATGCATGGATAAATGGAGGAGTATATTGGATGAATGAATGGATTGATGGATGGATAAATGGATGAATGGAGGAGTATATTGGATGAATGAATGGATTGATGGATGGATAAATGGATGAATGGAGGAGTATATTGGATGAATGAATGGATTGATGGGCAGAATGGATGGACGGACGGACGAAGCACATGATGAATGGATGGGTACAATGGATGGATGGATCAATGGGCTGGATAGATAGATGGATGGAAGGATGGATAGACAGAATGAATGGATGAGCGAATGCATGGATGGAGGCATAATTGGATGGGATGGATGGATGGATGGATGGATGGATGGGCAGGATGGATGAATAGATAGATGGGTGGGCAGAATGAATGGATGGATGGAGGGATGCATGGATGAATGAATGGGTAGAATGGATGGAAGGATGGATGGATGGAGCAGATGGATGGATGGATGGATGGATGGATGGATGGATGGATGGATGGATGGATGGATGAATGGATAGATGGATGGATCGGGTAGATTACATGGATTAATAGGATGGATGAATGCATGCAGGGATGCATGAGCAGGATGGATGGATGGATGGATGGATGGATGGATGGGCAGAATGGATGGACGGACTGGGTTGAATAGATGGATTGTGTGAATGGATGGGTGGATGGATGGAGGGCATGGATGAATGGATGGATGGATTGATTGATTTGCAGGATGGATGGATAAATGAAAGGATGGATGAATTGATTGATTGATTGATGGATTGATTGGCAGGATGGATGGATAAATGGATGGATAAATGGACGGATGGATGAATTGATTGATTGATTGATGGATTGATTGGCAGGATGGATGGATAAATGGATGGATAAATGGACGGATGGATGAATTGATTGATTGATTGATGGATTGATTGGCAGGATGGATGGATAAATGGATGGATAAATGGACGGATGGATGAATTGATTGATTGATTGATGGATTGATTGGCAGGATGGATGGATAAATGGATGGATAAATGGACGGATGGATGAATTGATTGATGGATTGATTGGTAGGATGGATGGATAAATGGATGGATGGTTGTTTTCCATCAGTCAGGCTCTACAGTTTGCTATGGCTGTGGCATTGTAGTACTGCGTGACTAGCATGCTAACAAGTGCACAGTTAGTGTGTCCTGCAGAATGGTGGCCTCGTGCCAGAGCAGATGCAGAACAGCAGGACGACAGCTTCAGTCACTCTTGCACACTTATGCTCCTTTATTAGACCAATTGCATGCTTCATGTCCTGTAGGGCTTTGCATTTGTTGGTGAGCTTTTCTGCATGGATGGATGGACGGATGAACAGATAGATATTCAGATGGATGGATTATTAGATGGATGGGTGGACAGATACAGTAGATATTCTGATGGATGGATGGATCAGTGGATGGATGTGTGTGGATTTTCACTGATTGTATACAGATGTTGTTAATGACAGTGCTTTGTGTCTGTTCAGAGTCAGAGTTGTCAGGCTGCAGTGGGAGCTCCAGTGAGTCTGCTGCGCTCTCTGGGTCAGATCCTGATTCTGCTGCAGTATCAGTCTCTGGCACACCGCATTAAAGTCATGGTCAGGAAAGCCCAAAACCTGCCCAAACTCTCCAGGATGCCCGGGACTCCAGGTCTGTCTGTCTCGTTAATCTATATTTCTGCAGTTATCACTGTTGTCACTCACTTTGAATCATCTGTAGACACATTTTAGTTCAGGATTTGATGTGCTTTAATGAAGGCTTGATGTGGAAACTTGTTAATTATACAATGTGTCCATGACAACTGTATATTTTACTTTTCTCTGACTTGTGTAAAGCACTTTGGATTGCAGTTAAATATCTTTAAGTAAAATAGGTTAAAGTGTTTTAGTATACAGTGTGGATTGTCAACTTTTCAACAGTGTAGAATAAATGATGAAAACTGAACTGATGTTCACTTATAGACCATTTTGAGGAATGTTTACCTAAACAATGGGAATTTTTTATTATTTTTACAGCTTCCGAGAATCCAAAAAGAGCCACATATTGATAAATAATGTTACGACAGCTGTTTTAACGTTGAGTTATGATTGAATTGCCTCTTATAACAGTTATGAAATAGTTTGATAACAAGCAGGAAATGTTCATGGGCCAGTGATAGGACCACATTGAAATGGTTTATAGAACATTTCTACACACAGGGGTCATTGAATGGATGGATGCATGGATAGATATTTAGATGAATAGATAGATAGATAGATAGATAGATAGATAGATAGATAGATAGATAGATAGATAGATAGATAGATAGATAGATAGATAGATAGATAGATAGATGGATGGATGGATGGATGGATGGATGGATGGATGGATGGATGGATGGATGGATGGATGGATGGATGGATGGATGGATGGATGGATGGATATTTTGATGGATGGAACGGTGGATGGGAGGATAGATATTCTGATGGATGGGTGGTTGAAGGGATATAAATTTGGATGGATGGATGGATGAATAGATAGATGGATGGATAAAGGGATAGATATTATGATTGATGAATAGAGGGATCGATGGATGGATATTCTGATTGATGGATGAAGGGAAGGGGATATTCTGATGGTGGATGGAGGGATGGTTATTCAGATGGATGGAGGGATGGATGGATGGATAGATGGATTGATGGATGGATTGATGGATGGATGGATTAGTGGACAGTCAATAAATGGATAAATATTCTGATTAGATAGATAGATAGATAGATAGATAGATAGATAGATAGATAGATAGATAGATAGATAGATAGATAGATAGATAGATAGATAGATAGATAGATATTCTTTTGGACGGATGGATATTCTTTTGGATGGATGGATGGATGGATGGATGGATGGATGGATGGATGGATGAATAGTATGATGGAGGGGTGGATGGAGTGATAGATTTTCTGATGGATAAATGGTTGAAGGGATATACATTTGGATGGATGGATGGATGGATGGATGCATGGATAGAGGGATATTGTGATTGATGAATGGAGGGATCGATGGATAAATATTCTGATTAAAGGATAGATGGATGGATATTCTGATGGATGGATGGATGGATAGATGAATGGATAGTCAATAAATGGATAAATATTTTGATGGATGGATGGATAGATATTTTTTTGGATGGATGGATGGATGGATGAATATTATGGTGGGTGGATGGATGGATAGATGGGTATTCTGATGGATGGATGCAGAAATAGAAGGATGAATAGTATGACGGATGGATGGATAGATATTCTTATAGATGGAAGGATGGATTGATATATGGATGAATGAATGTTATGATGAATGGATGGATAGATATTCTGATAGATGGATGGAGGGATATAAATTTGGATGGATGGATTCATGGATGGAGGGGTAGATATTCTGACTAATGAATAGAGGGATGGATGAATGGTGGAGGGAAGGATAGATTCTCTGATTGGTGGCTGGAGGGATGGATATCCAAATGTATAGATGGAGGGATGATAGATCTTCAGACGTATGCATGGATGGAGGGATGGATAGATATTCAAATGGATAGATTGATATTCTAATAACTGGATGAGTGAACAGTCAATGAATGGATAGATATTCTGATGAATGGATGGACAAATAGATAAATATTTTAATGGATAGATGGATGGAAGATAGATGGATGAATGGAGGGATTGATATTCAGGGTAAGGATGGAGGGATTGATATTTCGGTGGATGGATGGATTAAAGTTTAGATGGATGTTTGGATGGAGGGATGGATAGTTATTCATATTCAGATATGATATTTAGACCTCATGTGATTTGGGGTTGCAGTTGTTCAGATGTGGTGGTGTTTGAGTGAGTGTTGTATGTTCCTGTAGATCACTCCGTCATCATTAACCTGCTTCAGGATGGTACAGTCATCAGCACTAAGGAGACCAAGTGCTCGAGTGGACTGAACCCTGTTTGGAACGCTCCCTTTCTGTTTGATCTACCAGCCGGAGACGTCAGCACACTGATGCTGGAGTTCATCATCATGCAGGTCAGCAGGAGAGCAGACACTCAAAACATTACCTCTGCTGCTTGTTCAAACTACTTATTTAAAATGAGTTGAAGCAACACGATTCTTTAGGTGTTTTTGGGGACAGCTTAAATGTGTTATGTTCAGTCCACTTTCATTTGTAAAAACAATTAATGTGAATACAACTTCACGGGACCTTAAACATTTGCATGAACCAGAAGCTGCGACCATTTTTTTCTGTATTGTGATGCAGTTCCTTAAGAAACAGAATATTAAATGAGCTAACAGTGGGCGTGGCTTGTTTTTTCTACTGTGAGCTGATTGGATGTGGTAAAGTAGACGTTTCATTTAGAGTTTGAGGAGAGTTAGTACACCCTAACAGACTCCTCCTGCTCACTATTTCTGTTTGTTGTCAAAACTGACAGCTGGAGGGGTGTGGTTAAATGTGCTAGCCACGCCCAATACCTCAGACAGACCTAATCTCACAATTTCACAAAAAAGATTTCAATTAAAGATTACAAGGGCAAACTATTGTTTCTTAATGACATGCACAGATGAATTGTTCACCACAAAACTAGCAATGTGAGCTAGCAACATCACTCTGCTGAAATTTTGTTTAAAGAACAACTGAAATCATGACTAACCAGAGTAATGACATCATTCTTTGATTGACAGGGACGACTGTATGCGAAGAGTTGCGTTTTGGGTCGTGTTCTGATTGGCTGTGAAGGCTCTGAGGCGGGAAACCAGCACTGGAGAGAGATGCGCAACACACCGCAAGTGGAGACCGCCTGCTGGCACCTGCTCCAGCAGGACACCCCATAGGCCAGCATTGCTGGATGAACATGCCCCCTGACCAATCACATCGCTCTATTTTGGAATGGAGCCTGGTTTGAGGAGAGACTGTGGTGAAATTGTTTAACAATATCTAATGTTTGCTATCCATTCAAGGTGTGGTTATGATTGGTTAGCTGAATTATCCCAATAGTATCTGGCTGCAGACTTGACTGACATGCTCCCTGACCAATCACATCGCTGGATTTTGAAATAGAGCCAAGTTTGAAGAGACTGTGGTGAACTTGTTTGAAAATGTCTAATGTTTGCTATCCGTTCAAGGTGCGATTGGAGTTGGTTAGCTGCATTATACCCATAGAATCTGGCTGCAGACTTACACAAGCAATCTCCGACATGCAGTCCCAGACATATACACTCAGTAAAGCTAGTAATGTCACGGTGAGGGGCGGGGTTAAGTGTTTATGCATTAAAAGCATTGCATGCAGTCTCAGTTAGCATGTGCACCTGGTCTGCAGCCAGACACTTCCATTTGCACTAGTGAACTGATATATGTTGTTGCTTTTGTCTAAAATTGCACTAACAAAAATCATAATAAATATCATATAAAATAAAAATAAATAAATATATTTTTTATTAAATATTTAAATAAATTATTTTAAATAAATTATCAAATTGATTAAATGTTGTCTAGGTAGGATACAGAAAAAAAATATGAATGCATTAAAGGTTGAAAGAACTAAAATATATATATATATATATATATATATATATATATATATATATATATATATATATATATATATATATATATATATATATATATATATATATATATATATACATATATACATACATACACACATACATATATATATTTATAAAAAAATATATATATATATATATATATATATATATATATATATATATATATATATATATATATATATATATATATATATATATATATATATGTATACACACACACACACACACACACACACACACACACACACGCAC